TATGTAATGAAAAGTTCCCCACTCAGTGACGAATCAAGGGCAAAATTCCACGTATTCCACACCCTTGCATTGTGCAGTAAACGGATTGCAGGGAGACAGACGCTGAGCTGAACTTGCCACGCCCGACCTACCCTCGACCGTCCCCTGAGTGTAGTTTTCGTAAATTTGTTTCTTTTCGGAAATTGACTCTTGTTGCATGAAACCTGTGTATGTTATCTCTATTGATCACACCTGACGTGTTCATGTTAGGAAAGACTGCAAGGATTTCCAGTAAACTGTTGATATTGGAACATTTTTGTACAGCTTTTTGAGAAACGCCTGACGTTGTGATGTTCACAGAGCTTTATTCATTAGTATATATAATACTATTATTTTAGTAGTAGCATATTAATGTACAAAAAATTTGACATTCTGAGGAAACTTGATGTGGAATTGTGATGTATTGGATGGAAAATGATGACATAACTTTTAGTGAGTGGGAAATAATGGACGATTTGCAAGGAGAAGCTTATATTTTCATCCTTGTGGAATCAGGATCGAGCCGCAATTCTTATCAAACACGCAACCGTCATTATTTTACCTCCAAGAGCCACAACATTTGGATGCGCCATGTTTTGAATAATCCATTGTCCAATCTGAAAAGAAAAAAGAAGTACTCTGAAAATTGTAGATTCAGTCAAAAGTTGATTGTAGGTAGTACTATATGACCGTTCACGCAGTTGATGCTATGAAAGCAGTACTCTTGAACATTCATCCTACACAATGTGTAGTCAGATTAGCATCTTTGGAAACTTCAAATAATGTGTACAATAACTCTCAAAGGGCAAATGTGGGTGCTAACTTGATTGGAGAGGGGGGGCGCGGCGCGGATTGGCTCTGTTTTCATGAGCCGCTAAGCTCACTCAGTCCTAGGGCTCGTTATTACCGTATCACCAAGTGGCATCGATACACCGGCAACGCACGAAAAGTCTTAGAGGCGCGAATAAACAGAGCAGCGCCTGCCGCTGTGTGGTCCCTCCTACTAGGTCAGCACCAAATGTACATTGTAAAAATAGAAAAAAAATAGAAAAAAAGTTATCAAGCACTTTCCCGGTGAAAACTGCGCGAGAAGTGACGTGAGCAGCAGCAGAAGAACTTTCCTGACATCCCATCCAATGCTCCGCTTGCACGTGACCGTCTATGGACTACTACTTGGGCTCGCTTCTTTAAATCGCGTCAACTTGAGCTCTCGCCTACGCTCCCTCGCCTGAACAGGGGCTCATGACCGCTGTGTTCTCACACATTCAAACTTTTGCCACACTGTCCAAGTTCGACTTTGAATGAATCTTGGCATAGTTTTCAGTATATGATAGTGTAGTGACCTGAACTTCCAACCAGAAGGTAATAACCTTATGAGGCCGACGATGCGGAGCTTTCACCTTCTTTAAAAAGGCGAGACCCATTCAGGGAACTACCCGCCCAAGCACTATTCCAACCTACAAAAATTGTTCAACAGAGCACAAACTAGTATAACTTAAAGGCATGCCCCAGGATCGCACTGGTGTGGCTCTTGCACACGAATGTGAATGTATCGGTGCCAAGTGGGCCGGCAGTGAAGAAAAAAGGAAAAGAATCCGTCGAAAACGCTCAGGTTGAGGGCTCACTCACCTTCCTAATTGGCTGTGCTAAAGGAACGAGAGACTAAGCGCGAAGAGGAGAGTATGGGGCGAGAGAGCGCATCAGATGAGAGAGCACCAGACAACGGCCTGATAAGAGAGCTCGTTCGCTGCAGCTCGAGCAGCTTACTTTGCAAGCCCAAAGCGTTCTTGTCGGTCGAATTCCGTGCACGTGAACGCCACATTTGTGATTGTCCCCTAGGGTTCTATACTTCTGACCGAAGAGAAGAGTTCACACGACCTCTGCCTGGGTTGTGCCTTAAGGCGATGTCATGGAAATGAAATAATCTTGCAGAATGCTGAGCACTGAGCCATTAGCCTTCGAGGCGGCAGATAAACCTCCTCCAATCTATTCTATATATTTTGGTTTGAAGTTCGAGCCGCATCCTTCTCATCGTATATGCCGTAGCGCGCCAGAACCATAGAAAAGAAGGTGCAGTTGATCTGTGAACCGCACATGACCGCTTCTACAGCGGAGAGTGGTGTTGTATTGTTGCCGAATGCCTCTCTCCTGCATGTCTCGTCAATCCAATAACAAAGAAAACACTATTCTTCTATTTTTTCTGAAGCTCTATAGATTCTTTCGTCAGTGACTGATCACTTAGCGCTTCCAGTTCCATTTTTGGCCGACAATCATACTAACGTATCTACCGCTTGCAAATTCTCCAACCGTCCTATTAAATTTTTAGAGCGCTGCCTGTAAGATACGAGGCATGCTTTCGGGCTACACCTAGCAGGGACAGAAACTGCGGGCAAAACGAAAATTGCTTGCGCATCTCGGCGTCGTCCGTACCTTGTCTAAAGCTTGCCGTAACCTCATTCTAGAGAAAAAGTAATGTTTGCCGCGATTCAGATTATTGCCATACAATGCCACGTATTCTTTCGATAAGTTCTTCGAAATACCACCTTTTTTCCCCGATTCAATAGCAGTGGGTCATCGTGCGATTTCAAACCGTTCTCCATGTCTGTTTGTTGAAGGGACTATGAGACTTACCGAGGCACCGAGAAATTTGGTGTGATCCAGTGCAGCATAGGCGCGGCCATTCAGCGAGAGGCCAAGCCATAGATCAGAATAAATGTTACACGACATAAACAGGAAGGAAAGACTCATTAGTGTCTGGAATGAACATAAAATTAAACAAAAAATACGTGAGCTAAATTAAATTAAATTAACAGTCATCTCAATGAAATACTGGGTTGTGCGTAGAAGGCGAATTTTTGTTGGGGGCGTCCATCGTGGGTCACGGCGCGACCACGAGTACAATTGCGGTGTGCCGCGCGCGGTGCAGTGTGCGACAATTGATCCGAGTTACACTGCTTTCGCCACTCTCCATCCTCTTTCAAATATGCGCATGCAGTGTCGTCACGTCTCTGTCCCCAACGGTTCCTACGCTTTCGAGGGAGGTTTTTTCAGGGTGTAGAGACCTTTTTTGAAACGGTTTTTTGCATGCTGTAGGGGCTCTCACGTGGACTACAAAACTGAGTTTCATTTTCGCTGAGCGGCCCGTGAAGGTCAAAAAAAGGATCGAAAAAATTTGCGTAGTGTGGGTGATTTTACAGCGTTGAAGCGATAATGTATAGGTGTATAGGATTCTAGCAAAGAGTTCCCGGCGCTGGTGATTTATGTCACCTACTACTGGCGCTGGCGCTATTTGAAGCTGATCTGGGAGCTCCAACCTAAAATGCAAAATTTTGTAACCACGAGAATTGAGCCTCGAACCATTTCTTCACCATTTCCTGGCCTTCAAGAGGCCGCTCAGCAAACGTTGATTTCGGTCTCTCCACTTTTTGAAAGATCTGCCTTGTTAGTGGAAGCCCAGAACGCCTCGCCATCCAGCGATACACATACCAATGGGTATTTGAAGGCCATTCTGCCTTTTTATCGGTTGGTTAAGATTACTAGAGAACGGCGGGATTGATGAAGACATGGCAATAACACCGACGGCGCTACTTGTGTTATCGACCTGCGTCACCGCTACACATGTGCTTCCTATTAGCACACCTGGAGGGTATGAAAAATTCGTTTAGCCCGAGCGAACTTTCATCTTCCAGCAAGTCGCAACTATTCAGATTAGAGCGCTTTTGTAGCGCGTAGCAATATACTGGGGCACTTTCACGGCAAAATATTCAAAGACGCGTGGAAACATTCCTTTTTGAGGGGGGGTATAAACGTTTAAGATTTGAGGCGCTGCAAGAAGACACTTGTAGAGAAACAGGGTGCGAGTATCTGTTTTACATTCTCCCTGAAGCCTCATCCAACTTGCTAGGTTCAGTCCTTGGCGACCAGGGTCAACCGTTACGTTGGACCGATATTGGAGCGACGTTGGACCGATGTTCACCGCTCTCCGCGCCGGCATTCACTCTCGCCACCCGCGAGCCGTCTGTGTCTCCGTGCGTACGTTCACTCTCGGCATTACTCTCGTCGTCGCGTTGGACTTTGTCCAACGACGGTGACCTGCCTCGCAGTATCCCGTGTTATTGATATAGCGCGCTCTTTCAGATTTGTCGGCAATAAGAAGGATAAGCAAGTCAGCTGCTCTATGATCTATTACAAACGAGTTTGAACGGACGTCCTACAACATCTGCAAATAATTTCGACGAGTCCCCTACGTGAATTTGAAATAAGGGTCATATCAACTGAAGCTGTTTTACTCTGCTAAATCCGATTGTATTTTGAGAGGACGGGAACACGGGGGACATGAAACGAGTGATACCTATATTTAGTACTTAGCATATAAGAGCTACGTATTTTGCAAAACACTGCCGACTTATTGGACGTGCTTACAATTAAGTGCTACTTATGCTCGTTATGGGTGAGACCCCAGTCACTAATAGGCAAAAAACTTAATGGTAGTCTTTTCGAGTTGCTTTAAAGGCAAGGGTCAGTCGTGTTTGGATGCTGTGCCGCAATGAAGTGACCGCAGAGACGAAAAATGTAGTTCAGGTAGAGAAAAACGGGAAAGTACCGAAACGGAGCAATAATCCTCTCATCTTTCCCAGCGGCGACGGGCTTCGCGCCATGGAACATTTGTCGAGACGAGTTTTGCACATACGCGCGATCATTATCTACTATGCTGTTTCTCGGGGATGTCGTTCTTAGGCGGTGTCCTTAGCTTACCATGCACACTAGACTTACCCAGGCGCGATACAAAAAACACTAAACCAGGGGGAGGGGCGGGGGTTGCCGCGCGTTTCCAAGTCACGAACGTCTGTTTGGTTGCGCACCACTCACAGAAATGATGGAAGGGTGAGGTTCCAGCCTTATCCCCTACATTTGATTCTAATTAGTGAGCCTTCTGCAGAGCAACAAGAACAACGCCGGGATCTGGATATCTGGAACCACAACTTCTCTAGAAAAGTGCACCTACTCGGGTTCACTAATCGATTTTTCAGAAAACTCACATTTTTTTCAATCACGCTCTTTTTGCCAAGTATTGTTGAAATTCTTTCAGGCATAAAAAACACGTCCTTATTTACAGAAAAGGTCAAACGCTGCTGGCATCACTTCAACGATGAGTAAGTATTGATGAACAAATGTGAAGCGATTTCATGCTCCTCGTCATCACCTCCCATCTCGCTTCGACGATCCATTACATAAAATGTTCAAGCCTCTGACTCACCTCATGGCTTTTCAGAGCAAACGTCAAGCGAGCGGAGGATTAACAACACAGGAACACTTTTTACCCTTCTTTTACCTCGGATGTTTCTTTGATGCATGTGATTTGCTTTCATAAATCTTTGTGGTGAGCCAAGCTTAAGACTTCTGCTCAGAACCTCAGAAGCCTTTGACGGTTTACCTTTGCTATTACGACGACTTTTTCGATGTTTGTGTATTCCATTATACGAAAAAATACTCATCATCTTGAATGATAAAGAAATTAAAGAAGGCGCTGGCATGCGCAAAGGACGTGCTGATGGTTCGTAAAGAACCTTGAATGGAGCCCAATCCAGAATATCTCACTCTCCCTTCAAAAACGAGAAGAGTGTCGGGTGCAGACCATACACCACAAGTGACGACGGCCTCCAAGTAAATCTGGTTAGTAGTGGTTCATAGTGATAGCTGATTTTTGGTAAATGATAGTTGTAATTAGTGACAACTGATAGAATACAACTGCAACAGGCTAATCATTTCATTGGCAGAAAACATTACATTTTGTGAGGCCGTCGTCACTTGTGGTGTATGGTCTGCACCCGACGCTTTCTCGTTTTTTGAAAGGGAGGGTAGTATGAGCCATCGCGCTCATTTCTGTGAGTACATAACGCACGGACCAAGTACCAGTCTACCGAAATGAACAGATAGATAAGGAATATTGCAAAAAAATTCATCTGTGATAATTATTTCGGGGCCGCGGGGGCGCGTTGAAGTAATGCTGTTTGTGTAACAATACTTTCGTCAACACCACCGTTAGCTTGAACGAGAATGACTGGCAGGTCAGCGATGAGTAATCTCTCAATACAGCGGTAAAAATCAAAGATTATTCCAACGAGTGAACGAGCACCCTGCAAAAACAGAATGTAGCCGTTTCCCTCAGGGAACAGAGACTTACTTATTACAACATGATTAACTATATACTAAAAGGCAGAAGCAACAGACTGAGCCTTAAAGGCACTGAACATGGTGGCTGGAGGGTGAACCGATCGTGGATACGTCGCTGAAGGGTTGGACCCCTAAGCGCGCTGCAGGGTGCGATTGAGACCACCGTTCAATGCCCTTTTCGTAGGACCAATCACGCTCAATGACGTCACCAAAACTGCTCCACCCCTCAGCCATCGTGTTCGCTGCCTTTAAGGACTTTAGCTATTGAACAACCTTTCTAGGTCATTTAAACTGATTGCTTTTCACGATCTCCAAGTTACATTGCATTGGCTGCCTGGGTCTTGACCCTTATCACCTCTCTGATCTTCATTCACTGACACGATCATCGTTCGAGATACTCCGTGATTTCGATCTGATAGAATCACATGGGGAAAGCATCTCGATGATAAAGTATACCGCAGTCGACGTTGTACAACCCCTTCTGGAATGCCCCACACATGCTGATTTCACAGAAAAACTCACAGTGGGACTTTGAGACGATAGGATCCAAAATGGAATTAGAGACAGCTTGATGCTAAGATCGTGTCTACTGCCTCTCCAGGTTTACCTGGTTGCTAATTGAACAGGGCTTTGTTCTCCGGATGGCCTACACCTAGGATCTGGTCCCCTGAACGTGCCCGTTGGCAGCGCCACTTACCGCGACACCACTTACCGCAACCCACTCCGGCCTTTGGAAACAGTTACCCCACCTACCTTAGCATTGATCAATCTCGTTTCGGGATGCGCCACGCACTCGAGCTCCGTTCAGAAAACTTGAATGCATTGACAGTGACTTCAAGAAAAAAGTCCATTTCTTCATTTTTGAGCACAACAAACTGTTGATTGTGCCTCGAACAGACCAAGATGTTGCTAGAGCAATGACGTGCTTCAGCAGCAGTCGGCCACATGTCCGTGGCTGGTGACTCGTCACCTCAGCTACCAGACGACAACCGTTCCTGTGTACGAGTGTGAGCGATCACGTCATCCCTATTTTTGTTTATTTGACACCATCAGCGAGTTGAGGAAGTGTACGCCTGTGTTGCCCGACAACAACACCTGCCTGAGGTCTGAAGCCAGCGGAGGGGATCCACAAGCTACTACCTGCTTTTCATCCAACAAGAACACAGCAAGACTTTCGTCGCATGCAGGCATAGAACCAGTCAAAACGATTTTTCATAAGCCACGTCAAAAGGGGGGGGGAAGGGCGTTTGCGGGTTTCAGAAAACATTTTCAATGAAAGCCCTCACGCAACTGGAGATCCCTGGGCCAATCCCAAAATGTATCTTCGACTTCCATCAAGTATCCGCCTTACGTTTTGAAGGCGCAAATCATGATGAAAAGGCAGCCGATTAGTAATCAAACTCAAGGTGATCATTGGTTACGGCTCAGAATCTGGGAAATGGAGCCATTTCTTCGCCCGCTGATCCCCACATTTATGCGACTCTCGTCGGTGCTGCCCACTTGAACGATAACGCTTTCGCTGCTAAACGCCTACAGGCTCAGACGGCGAGACAGTTGGCGTACCGAGACGATAACGGCGCGGGGTCGGTCATGCTAGACCGCCGAGGGTTATCCTGCGAATTGTGTGTTGTTCTGCACCCTTAAAGGGTCTGAATGTCCCTCCACCAAGTATGTTTCCCTTCTTCGACCTCCGAATTTATTGTGGAATCCTCCTTCAAGTGGCAGCGCTCCTTCTGCGCCTTCCGAAGGTGTCGCCTCCGAGTTGAGTGATCCCCATACATACACACTTCCAACGCAAATGGTCAATAATATAGTCTCCATTAAATGTGAAAAATTGTTGGCAAGTGGTGTGACGGTGGAAGGAAAAACAAATGTTGATTTTAAATTGCCAACCCTCCCATTGAAAGGTGAGTAGTGTTGCAAGGTGATGTGAAAAAAAGAGATTCGTCAACACCCCAAGTAGCGTGACCCTCTTTCCGCCTGTTGATTTCGGGGTAAAAAAAAGTTTACCGCTAAAATAAGGTCATTCGGGTGAAGCTGAACACTGGCATCATGCCAACGGTGACCTATAGCTAGCTACTGCTTCAATGTATGGTGCAATAGAGCACTTGGAAAAGTTAATCGAACGTTAACGCGAGCGGTCCGGGGATCAAATCCTGGGTCGTGAGTCGCCCGGGCCAACCAAGCCTTCCATCCCTCCGGGTCGGTTAATTGGTACCAGACTTGTCTGGGAGGATAAAAACACTGACTTGTACATCGGCTGGCCCCCGCAAGTCATTGTATAGGCCACATCGCATTCAAACGCCACTACGAATGTACAAATGGAAGTAGAATGCGTGCCGCATCCCAAAAGGGATTGATCAACGGCAAATGCTTTATCCTTTTATTTATTATCCACGTGCCACAATGGGCGTGTCTGAGACCGCAGGCCAATCGAGGGCACCTTTGGCGTCTTACCGTGCCATTGATACACTGCCTTTAGATGTGAAATTACTTGCCACATATCGTCTTTTTCGAATACTCCTCCCCATCACTCTTTTCAAGAATGTTCGCCTTATCATGATTTTTGTCTCAAGAGAGCCGTCGTGATAAACAGGTGAGAACAGCGTCTGAACGCACTTGCTAGCAGTTTGTTCCTTACAGATGAGGAAGTATACTTCGTTTGGGGAGGCTCGATGTTGCAGAGGTACAGGTTGAGGTATATTTGCTATCATGGTTCCACGGCGTTTGAAAAACACCTCTGTACGAGTTTTTCACGCCATGTTCACGGAAAAAGGACCCGCCTCTCCGTCAACTGCATTAATTCTGAGCACATCATGTAGGATAACCTTCCTCAACCCATGTGGACCTATGCTATATCATACGCGTCAGTCGATATTAGATTCTGGATGAAAAATTATAAAGGCATACTGTAATGGCTGGAGATGCATTAACAAATATTTGAAGGAATGAAGGCCTACCGTGAAAGAGGTGGTTGCAAGGCTTCTCTCAACCGAAGGATTAGAATGAAGGTGGAAAAGCATACACTTTGTACAATACTATTACGAAGCCTTTCTCTAAAGGAAAACAAAAAACAAAGGTTCTTTATAGGTTGCATGTGAGAGCTCCCCGACAACACTACAAAAACACTTGCTAAGCCCCATGGCTGACAAAACTCCTGAAACTAAGAGAGGTTGAGATCCGCAAGCCTATGGGCTGCATCAACTTCACAGCTCAGTGTTGTAAGGCAGGACGGCTAAGGTTCACTGTCGCTCCCATTATCCTACCTACAGCCCCAGACTCCGTTTTAGGACCTCCATGGCGTTAGGGGACATTGAACTGAGTGAGCAACCTACAGAACTTAAAACTGAGCCTCAGGAAAGGGAAAGGATTAGGAGGTAGGCAAGCCTTTGTTCTCCTTGGCGTTTCTCTTCCCTCCTTATCAGCTGCCTTTGCAGCCCTGTTTTGAGTGTCCCCTCTAAAGACATTCTAGAGTTGGCGCCATAGGCGCTGCCAGCATCTCGCTTGGCACTACGCTCTCTCTCGCCTCCTCCGCGTCTGCTACCTTGCCCTAGTGTCCCG